ATAGATGCGCACGTCGGCTCAAAGCCGGCAGCGCATCGGTGCCTCCCACCACCACAGTGTTTCTGCACAGACTACACGACTTCGCTTGGTGGTTCCTCCATCCACCACTTAAGCGGTAACGGGTCATGGTTATTGTTGCACCCTGAGTACACTAACTACCCAGGCACTGCACGTTCTTTATTTACGCTAGTGGATGGCTCTCTCCCTTCGGGGAACGCGTTCATAGGTAAGGGGCGGTGAAGTTGTCTGGGTAACCATTGCATGGTAAGTGGTCCCGGAGATGCCGTTAGTCCTGTAGTCGTCCCTCCGGTGCGCTGCAGTGCATTTTTATGCCTTAGAAGAACATTTCAATGCAGTTGATTTTGTGCACTATCGGCTGGTTGCTACTATAGCTTTGCACCTGAATCCAGTTGGCCGTCTTTTTATGTACCCTAGTGTTCAGTTCGCTACTGAGTCAGCATGTGAGAAGAACATCAAACAAGAGCAATTGCGCGGCTCTCTTTTCCTTCCTTGTGAACTAAATGTCCGCGAGCATACTATTAACCAGCTCCTGAAGGCCTGATAGCTTGCCTCTCCTTATTAAAACAGACGTGTTAACTACTCATAAACGCCAAAACGCAAGTTCATAGTGGCTGAAAACAACCTTTTCTAGCCTTCGGAAGACTAATTCTGGGATTAGGCTGGAGTTTGGAGAACCCATCTGCGTTAATTTTATTTACTCCTGTGTTCTGCCATTGAAAATGAAGAAGAGTCGTTGGCAGTTTACAAAGAATTACATATGATCCTCAATTGTTAGAGATCTCGTTCAGTCTTACGTCCATTTGAGCCGTGTTTGTAGATCGGCCGACGGGTCCGATGGAATAGGATAGACAGGTGAGACCACTTGGTGCGATGTCATAATTTTGTCAGATCGGACATCTTTTCCCAAATGTTCGGTCTGCTTGACTCTGTCATGACACCGGGCCTGGATGGGAGAAGGGGGAGAGTGTGGTGGAGGTAGCGCAAGTTCACTATCACTTTTAACAGACTCAGACGCGAGTCATCTCCCCTGCTTCCACTCTGCAATGAAGCACACGGTGGACATCGTTGGTCGTGACGTTCAAACTGTCGTGTTTAGCCTCATCACTTGTCTTTGCTCTTGCCAACATGGCCCCAAGGACAGTCGTGAAGTCGGTTGGTTTAGAACCTGTCGCGTCAAAAATGGCTTAGTAACTCGGCGCCCACCGCTCTTGGTTGTATAACTGCTTAGACAATAGGTTGTGCTCCACAGTTTCATTTGTGTTGGCTTAGGGTTTGAATTTCATAGGCTTGTGATGTATTTACGTTCGTTTCATTTCTTGCTTGGCATGTGATCCGTTGAAAAGATACATAAGTCCTCAATACGTTGTAGGCTGATTTTTTTCATATTTAAGCCAAAACGGCTGTGACGGTCTTTAAGGCTGCTCTTGATTTATATTACTGGAAACACATCAGAAGACACTGAAAGCCAGCTAAAAAATCTCAACCAAAGTGGTTAAAGATTATGTAAACAAGTAGTACTTAAAAAGGCTGTTTAAATCACCCACGAAGGAAAGGGTTTCTTAGCATACTTTGAGTATCCTAAGCTGTCACTAATAACATAACATTGTTATGTACGCAGAGAAGCAACCTTGTTAAAAGATGAAGGTTCTTTGCGTTTTGAAAACAGATCATTAAATGAGGAGAACTCACAGTTGTTAAAGGAAATGTACCACATAGGAAAGCAAGACCCTGTAAAGGCATGTCAAATACGTTACTCCTAGACTGTAGGACCCCTCGGGGCGTACTTTAGTCTCATTTTAGTGGACGTGCTGTCTTATAAGAATGTCAAATGAAATTCCGAAATTTGTTTCCGACTCGAAAAGATCGTTTAAGCAGGCTTGTAATGTTAATTATCTTGCTGCAAAATCCCAAGATATTTCAGCCACTTCAGGACGGCGGCTTCTAAACGAGCTTCTTTCCGGCCGCCTGCTTAAACAGCACTCTGTAACAAACGACTACTAATGAAGTACAAATTCTTCTTATTGATTTTCGATGCCCTTATAAATGCAGACATATTTTATGGGAAATTCACACAAAAATGCTCATCATTTTACACATTCGGTAGTATACTACGTCTTATTTAAACTTTTGTACTTGAAGAAAGACGACTTTTTGATTTTTAGAAAGTTTCTGGTTGTGAGATTTTTTAAGATCGTAGAATGTCCACTCATACACATCGTACATATGCATTTATTAATCTTGTTTTTAAACTGCACAAGGTCACTGCAAAATCTTTTGTACCCGAAACATAATCTTTTAAGTGGCGTATAAAAATGCAAGCTTCTCCTTACACGGAAAAGGTACAGTTTTTAATCTGAAAACCATAAACGCAAATATGACGGCAGCTCAGGTTGAAAATTATTTGGGCATTAAAAATTTCTTAAAATTAAATAATCCTCTCTCTTCAGCATAAAATTCGAAGACGTAATTTTCTACCAAATGCACAAAGAACGAATATTTTTATGCACGTTTTCTTTAAAACATATTTGAACTTATAAGAACAATGACAATAAATAGGGAAAATTAATACTAAATATGTGGCCACTTTCTGCATAACATAATTTATGCGGGCAGCCAAAGGGAAGCTCATTCGACAACTGACATCCTGGTACGACTGAAATACTTTAGAATTCTGCCTTGTGGTCATTGATATTGGAACTCTACTTAAGTATTCTTTTCAAATCGAAAACGCATTTCAGAATTTCGGTTAACACTTTGTGAGATGGCGCGTCCACTACGATATTTACTCTCGAATACATAAGGGCCTGAAAATAAAGCTGGTCAGGTATGCACTTTAAAAATTTTCTAAATGATCGTATTAATGACCTAAGAGTTAACCTTGTCAAGCATTTGGTAGATTCCTTGGGATGGAGTGCTGCAAACTCTAGCGAGTGAACGCTCCATTTATTTCAAACAGATTTACAGAAATTACACTTCCAAAGAAGGAATACATTTGAATTGGATACTAGAATAAGCACCCCCACTTGCTACAAGTGGCTTTGCGCTAAATTTTAGCGTTACCTATTTTCTTAACCCTAACTCTAGCCTTTAAAACCCTATTCCGCCCGGGAAGTTAGAGCCTGACAGCCTATAATACAAGGGCTCATATTCCCATACTTTATTGAAAGTTGTACATGATAAATGGGAATTCAGGAACTTAATAACATTTAAATAACACTTAATTAATAGCATCCTATAGTCATAATTAAAAAGAAAAATAGAAGTAAGGTGCTCACAGCCTTCCCAAATCTTAGGGTCTCCACTCTACAGATTATGCCGGAAAGTTTGACTGGCAAACAGTTTGTTAAGAGCTCCCGACCAAAATATTTTAACAGGTCGTGGTGGGTTGCAGCATCTTGGATAAAAGGCTAGACTCTTGGAAACTTTTTAGCACTCGATATATCGTTGTTCAATTATTCTTAAGTTTGACACGTTAGACGCATGAGTTAACGACAGATAACGTCAACTTTTCATACCCCGGATCCTTCCTTGGCTAATTTTTGGTTTATTAGTAACTCACAAAGATTTCGCTTTTGTTACGCCTGCATCAACCCATGTGCCCTTTTATCAACCAAATTACTGATACTAGTCTTAAAGCAAAAATCCGTCGTACAAAATACTAACTCACACGTGAGCAAACTGTGTTATATTTGGGAAAATATTCTTGCATATATTCGCATTAGCCCATCATGGGTTATTTCACAGTTTCGATCAAAATATGTGCAAAAAATGCCAGTGCGAAACCCCACGTCGCTCGGAGATTCGCACAGCCATCGCAATGCTTTTCTTCTGTGAACGGTTCGACGCACATAGCATACTTCATAGTTTGAGCAATAAAGGTGTTGTCGACAGTCCGGTGGAACATCCAACTAAAAGGTCCATGAGCGTAGACCCCCACATCCTCGCCGCTGTGGGTGGACCATTGGAGGGGTGCCAGAGCCTGTTGCGCGTAATTACTGCTTTGCAGCGTGGCTTCGTCCACTTCGTTCAGGTTTTCCCTGCTTTGGTTTACTTTGGCGCCTGGACCATTCATATATGCAACAGGCACCAGACCTCGTTTGTCAAGGACCTTCGTTTTGTAAAAGAATTGATAACGGTAAGAGGATCCCTGCTGTCTATGGTTATTCCACCGAAAGTCTCGAATGAGCATTTCGATGTGCATATTTTTACGGAGCTTCGTGAAGCAGAATTTAATTGTGGCCAAAAGTTTTGTTGGCATGTGGATTGGATGTTCGGGAGTTTATCTTCTGTAAAATATTTGAACGATATTTTACGTCTGAGATTCAAATGTCAGGCAAAAGGGACGGATGTAAAAAATGTAGAGGCAAAAAATGAATCGATCGCAACCATCCAACGTTGATGTAACAAGTGGTGGATAATGAGGCAAATTATATTTATCACCTAGAACAGCATGTTCGATTGCTCAAGACCTAACTTATGATCTACTTTTGCCGAACTTATTAAGCAAACTTGGACAGTCTCATCAGACCTTCTTGGGACGTGCAGTAACTTTGACTAACTGAACTCTTTAACAGGTTGAACATAGAATTGTTTCCGTCAAATGACACCAGAACGTCAGTCTTTCCTTAATATATCCAGACCCGGAATGTTCATGTTACCCACTTGTACTGACTCGGTCGTACCACAAATAATTTCCCTTGGCGTTGGT